CTCCATCTAAAAAGAAAGAACTACAACCACAGAAGATCAACCCCTGCTCATTCATTTAGCAGACCGCTAGGGTGAGAGACTCCATGGAGTGTCCTCAACTTCACAGAGAAATTCTTTTTCTCATGGAGGAAAGCTAATAATCATATGTCCCTCTTGGACACAATAAATGCTGGCTATCTGCTTATATCTTCAGAGGCTTGTCAATGTGGTTCAGACTGGAAAAAAGTCTCTTTCCCAGCAGAGGACAAAATGTGTGATATGGTTGAGAACTCAGTGCAGAAGACAGGATTGGCTATATTTCTATAGCTGTAGCCATTGTATACTTGTATATCAAAATCTATAGATATAATATAATTGTTTCAGAAGCATTTTAGTGTTGTAGCTGCTTGAAGGGGGCTTGTTTGAACTACTTACTGTACACAGTACTTATTTAGAACAGTGGCTCCCAACCTAGGGGACATTAGACACATCTACAGAGTTGTCAAATGTTTAATGAAAGAGGACATTTTATATTCAATTTTTGGACTTATTGGAAAATGTTACTTTTTTACAACCTCAAACAGTTATTGAAATGAAACTTCAAGACAGCAACACAACTATACCGTGATTTCATGTAAGAGCTGACAAAGGAACCATAGAGTTAATCTGTAACAATGTGATATATTTTATAAGCCTATTGTGTGTTTTTGATACAGTTTTTATGTTAATCAGTAAAGTAACTAGTAACCATAACTTGCAAGTCCATGTAATGGAGTAAAACGTAGGCTGCAACATTTCTCTCTGAAATGTAGTGGAGTAGAAGTACGTAAGAGAACTGAGAAGTGAATAAATGATAGCTTGCCATTGTTTATTCACGTCTCAAAATTTTTTAATTTATTCAGTGTTAGGGAAACTATTTTGAAAAAGTAGGTTTTCAAACCATCAATTGCTTCATACTTGAAGAAGATAAAGTGCAGCAAAGCTACTCTAGAGATTACCCTTCACATTTAGAGCACACCGCTTTGCTTCAATGTTTAAAATGAGAAAATGACACCTGGCTGAATTCTAAATTTTGTTTGCACATATTTGAGCAATGACATTTGTACAGTGAGAAACATCCTCAGAGGTTTTGGTTAAGGAGAGTCTGTCGATTTTTGAGTCAGAGGGTAAAATGCCAACATTTACATCTAGGGTGGAGTTACTGACCTGATTTTGCTCCATAGCCTGTACTGTGCTCACACGTTACTGCAGCTGAGACAGAACTTGCCTGAAACTTGTGAATTAATCAGTGTTAGATAATGGTGACAAGTGTTAAACATATAATACAGAACATGAAAAGCCATGGAATTATGTGCATCTAAGCACTGTATAAGCGGAAAAGTTTTCAATGTGCCGATTCCGCCTCACAACATAAAATCGAAGAATTATGGTGAGTGACCAGAAGGTGGCGTAGTTCTGGCATGTGGCTGCACATATTCCCGTTCATCCTGGTCTGGTCTTTATGACAATGGGAGGGCCTCTCTCTCTCTCTCTCTTTTTTCACACAAACACACACATACTTGTACCACTATCTTTGTGAGGACACTCATTGACATAATGCTGTCCCCTAACCCCTTATCCTAATTTTCCAAAAATATCCTCACTCTGTAGAAAAAAAAATCTCTTTTTGGTCCTCGCTATGTAGCAAGTACAAGAACACACACATACACAAAACCTATTTTGTCTCAGACCCCCCTTTTTAACAAAATTAGTATTTTGTTAAAGAACTCATAAATATTATTGCTAATTTTTTACAACTTTGTAAACTTCATAACTAAGTTCAAAATCCCTATTACACAAACGAATTTCAAACTATAATATGTGCCATTCTTCCTGCGATGATTCAGCTTATAAGCTCTTATGGTGGGACTGCCTTTATTTCCTTTCAAGAATTTACTGCTTTGATTAATTTGGAAGGAATTAACTTTTTAAAGTGTAACAGCAAGTAGGTATATAAGTAGCCTTACACAACATAAATCCATTCCTCCAGCTAAATTATACTGGAATACAGCCTTGGGACAAATTACCTGCCCCAGGAGCTGCTGATACAGTTCTACAGAGGAAGTCTGTTCTCTGCACCTCCATCACTGTCTGGTTTGGCTCAGCAACCAAACAGGACAGGAACAGACTCCAACGAACAGTCAGGACTGCAGAAAAGGTCATTGGTGCAAGCCTCCCCTCCATGGAGGACCTGTACACCTTACGGGTCAGGAGGAGGGCAGATAAGATTTCTGCAAACCCCTCACACCTGGGACGTAATCTGTTTGAACTCCTCCCTTCTGGACGGCGTTACAGGTCACTGCACGCCAAGACAACCAGGCACAAGGACAATTTCTTCCCCCGGGCCATTACTCTGATGAACAGTTGACTCATGACAGTATGACTGGACAATAACCCTCAGTGCAATACCTGTAAATATATACCTTGTACATATTGATCAGACGAATCCAGACTGTCTGTATATTCAGTACTTTATTTTTACTCTTAAGGCTCATTCTTTTGCTTGATTGCACATTGCCTCTTTACTTCTGTTCTCAGCTTTATATTGGTTACTTGCCCACTGCTGCCTTACATAAGGCCATGTACATATGCACTGAGAGCTGCTGTACCAGAGTCAGATTCCTCGTGTGTCCAACACACCTGGCCAATAAAGCTGATTCTGATTCTGATAAAATAAGTACTGTTATAAATAAAGTAAAAGAATTCTCTTTTAAATAAATTCACAGAATATACCCTGTCAAAACATGTAAAATGTTTTAATGATGTAATGTGTGTTTTCTTTGATAGTTTATCTGTGATCTGTAGATTGTGGAATACTTTACCTCTCAAAGATAGATCAGCTACCAACTTGACTGCTTTTAAATCATTGCTTAAAATATATTTATTTGCCTTGGCTTTTAATACTTAATAGGGTCTGGTGCTTTTCTTTTAATTTGTTGATTGCATGCCATTTATGTGTCTGTGCTATTGTGCTGTTTTATTCTTGCATTGATTCTATTTATTTTATTTTAGTTATTTATTGTGATCTTATTCTACCCATGTAAAGTACTTTTGTCAACTGGATGTTATTTTTAAAGTGCTATATAAATAAATTTGATTTGATTTGATTTGATATATCTCCTTCCACCACTAGGGGTGCCAATTCAAGAAACGGTCTTAAAAGTCATATTCACCTATTTAGGTTGGACTTGTTATGCATTGCTGGATAATCTGAGACACTTTAGCCACATAATATCCCCACATCTTTGAGGTTTTGTAGGAAATGCTATATTATCAGTCTGAATGTGACTTTAGGCCTTGTTGAAAATAGTTTCATGATATATGCCATGCTTTGTGCATGTCCCTTGTTTTCCCCCCTTTTATCTGCTATCCTGCTGTTGAGATCCACCCTCTGCTTTTGCACACACCTACAGTTGGTTCATGATTCATGTCAGCTCAGCCACCGCCCAGGTTAACAAGGTGTGTGCCAGATGAACAAATCATTCTTAGACAAGAGATAAGAACATGGTCTTGATTGAATGCTGCCATAATAATAGACCTAATCCACAGTAACTGAGAAACAAATTACCCAAAGCTTCAACATATAAGAGGAAGCTGCTCCCAGATCTTGAGATGACTAACTACATGTTATAGCTTATACCAGCGAAAATGCATTGTATAGACCTTCGTGTTGGGATATAACTTTCACAGACAATATGATTTACACTTTAGCTCAAAAAATGTGTTTAAAAAACAAGAGTTTAGACTAAAGAAAGACTAAAGACTTTATTTTAAACAGAGTACTAAAATGTATGTTAAAATCCTAGCCTTTGTCCATGTCCTTGTTTTGGCACAGCCTTATGGTACTACAAACTGTTGTACTGGGCTCGAGTGTTTAATAAACCTTCAGACTGCTCAAGCTGAACTTTCTACATTGTATTTAAGTTTCATTCACCTTACCTGAGGCAACATATCAGAGTATCATGCAGTCCCCACCCTTAAGATGCATTCATGCAATATCGGCAGCATGAGAAGACTTGGAAATGTTTGAGAAGATTTAGAAATGTTCACACATTACTCAGAGATGGTTACCCCCACTGCTTGTCTTACTCACAATTCAAATGTGTGTTGTTATAACTGTTTGTTTGCAAGTGAAATCAGATACAAAACTGTGTAGTGCTGGCAAATAGCTCATTTATAATGATGTGAATTAAGTGTATTAGTTTTAATATTAAATTATATTTAGACTACCAGCATTAGTGGTTTTGCCAAAACTAAGGTAATTGGTATCACTAAGTTGAAGATATTGTCACAGTTTAAAATTCCTGATAAATCTGGTTCAGATTTTGAACTCAGAGGGTGACGTGCCTGTTATGCTGACTCAGCTGCCTGTAGTCCAGTTGATATGAGAATGTTGCATTATAGTTTCCCCTATCCACCATATTTTGCACCGTGTAACTCCCAAAATGGATGGAATCTGATTTATCTAGCTCAGAGAGGTGTCTGTCTGGGTGTAAACTATATTAAAGAGTAATCTATGGAAACCAATGGATATGATTTTTGGGGATGGATCTCTTAGGAGAACATTATCATGCAAGAAAAACTGAGAAAGATGTGAACATAGAAATATAGGTCAACGTGTGTCTGTTGAAAAGGGTGAAAACGGGCGCTGCTTATGAAACGCTTCCGGTGGAGAGACTGTACTCAGAGACATGACGCAGCCTATTTTACCTTCACACGTAAATACCACCTGTAGGTGCATTCAGGAGCTCTGCGGTCAGTCTTGACAAAAGCTCAGAGCACGGAGGCTACAGAGTCTCTAGCAGCTTTGATGGTTGTTTCATTTATATTTGACATTAAAATTCGGATGCAAAAAGGCGCTCACGAGGACACAATTATAAAACAAAATAAAAAGAAATGATGCTTAACACTTAATACGTATTTTATTAAAACCAGAATAATAAATCACCTTTTAACTTTGCTGTTGTTGACAGGGTAGTCTACACTGTTGGCATAAGAAGTAACACATTTCCTTTACCGGTCAATATGTGTGACTTTACTGTGGCGTTCATGTGGCCAAAGAATAGTATTTCCGACAGCACATGAAGGGGTCATGAGATGTCTAACCTCATCGTTAATCGTCTCAAACGGCAGCCAGCTGAGAGAAAGGGTAGAGAAGACAAGATGGCGGCGTGAGTGGGTTGCGCTTTGTATAGACGGCTGCGACCCTTGAAATCTGTCGAAAACGCGCTTAAAGGACTGAAAAAGCAACATTACTATCGGAAGTGTAATTAAAGCGGCTTCTTTCCCCCCACCCCAGAAGAGAGGAGGCTTGGATATTTTTTCTCGCGACGGTCTTTGCGAGAGTCTTATCTTGATGCTAACGCTAGCCTACGTTAGATCTGAGTTGCTGCTTCTTTGAGGTAGCTGGGTTGTTGTTGAAGACCGTGAGCCCGTTCGCAGCTTTGGTGTAACATTATTTACTTAGACACTGACACGCATTCAGTGTTTCTCGATCCAGGTTTGATTTTAACTAGGGTCATTCGTAGCTGGTAGTCTATGAATAACACGAATACAGGTCAAGAGAAGTCTATTTTCCATCCTGTTTTTTCGGTTCGTGGTCGATATTACTTGGAGTGACAGCTTGTCTATAATTATCCTCACCAACATTAACTGGACAGGACTCTGCATGTTCTGCTGACAGTCGAGGTAGACTGCAACACAATTTCTTTTAAGTGAATCAAGTGGAAATTGTCATTTGGTGGACACTATGGCGAGCAGCAGTGGCTCCAAAGCCGAATTCATTGTCGGTGGAAAATACAAGCTTGTCAGAAAAATTGGATCGGGATCTTTCGGCGACATATATCTGGCCATCAACATCACAAATGGAGAGGTAATGTACTGCATCAGCGTCTACATTTGTCTTTGTGTTAATGTTGGTAGTTAATTTTCCTCAAAGAACACAACGGTGTCTTAGCCAAGCGTATTTGAGGCAGATTATAGCGTAGGCTTAGCATCACTTTAGCTAATATCAGTAATGACCTGTTAAATTTGGCATATAAGCGGCGGAGTGACAGCAGACCTATAAATGTGTGTATGTGTCATTTTCAGGAGGTAGCTGTAAAATTGGAGTCACAAAAAGCCAGACATCCACAGTTGTTATACGAGAGCAAGCTGTACAAAATCTTACAAGGTGGTGTCGGGATCCCACACATCAGGTAAGGGCAAATCTTTTCTTGACATTGACTTTACACATATTGTTGTGTATTTATATTTGTGTGGTACTGTTTTCCTTGGGAAAAGGACAACTAATGTTCAAGTGGCGAAACCTTGTTGGCATTAGGCCTGCTGATCTAACTAACGTTATTTAGGTTTTTTGTAGTAATGGCATATTTTCTGCGAACACTTAAGATGTCGTCGTGTGGTCACCTTACATTTATAATTGGACCATATCATCCCTATTTGACCCAGCACACCTTTAGCAGCTGTTAGGGGTGAGGAAAAGCAACTGTGTGGTTGGAAATGGCCGCTCCTCCTTTGTTGTTAGCTTCCAACATGTCTTCCCTTGCCCAGTTATAAAATGGCGGCGGAGCACAGGAACGAAAACAACAGTCCAAGCCTCACGATATAACTGTATTACACCGCGTGGTTCCAGCCCATATGCGGCCTTGCCTTATCCTGTAACAGGTCACACACTGTTTTGTTGAGCTTAAGTAAGCCTTGACTGTGGCGTGTAGCCCTACATGGCAAGTGATCGTTTTCAAGACACAATCTTGTAAGTTCCACACACTGTACCATACCTACAGATATTACTGTGCACTACTGTTAATTTCTTTTCTGTTGTACCTGTTGTTTTAATATGCTCAATAATGGACATATAAAATTGGTCTGTCACTATCAAGTAGTTGTTGGCACACTTGTAGTATGTGGCATTTATTTATTTACCGAGTAAAAAGGTCACTGTTGTGTACATGCTGTCATGAAGTGTCACTGCAGTATTAGAGACCAACTATACATAAACTGTACAATAAACTGGTAGTTAACAGATGAGTAGACATTTCTTAAGCATTTTTAAGCTCAAAATCCGCATAGTTGTAAAGCCCATACTATATTCAGCACTGTATGTTAGTTCTTGTATAGCATTTCTACCACTATTTTTGATTGTTTTCTGTACAAAAGCAAAAATTGGTCATATGGTGTGACCAGTTTTTGCAAAAAAAAAAAAATTGTCATATGGTGTGACAAACTATAATTCTGCTAAAATGTAATATTCATACTTTCCTGCTTGAGGCACACAGCATAATGGTGTTTAAACAATCTGTTAAAATAGTCTTTTAAGTATATTTTGTTTTCTCAAGGGTTAATATCCTGAGAACTTTGAAAGCATTAATAACATGGCCTCCATTAGACACATTTGAGGTTAACTGTAATACCAAGGTATAAAGGGCAGAAAATGATGATTATTTGCAGCACCACTCAACAGTTGGCCAATATTTATAATATTCCAATTGCAAAACTGTTTATCACTACTGTACTACTACCACACTACTGTAAATTCAAGTGCTGGACTGAAATCATACATACCGTTTGCACAGTCTTGATGGTCCAATAAAAACACCAGATAACATTAGGAGTGGTATTATCCTATACAGTGGAACCTTGGTTTTCGTGATTAATCCGTTCAAAAAAGTCAGACGAAAACCAAACTGAAGCAATATTTCCCATAAGAAATAATGTAAATCCAATTAATCCATTCCAGACACCCAAAAATATTAACAAAATACATTTTATAGAGAATAACTATATTTTTACATACAGAAAACCATGAGAAATAAATTACAAGTGACTAATGAAATGGATAAATGAACATTTAATATCACTTTTACCTTTATTGAAGACTCTTGTTGGCTAATGGTAGATGGCAAGGAGGGGAGAGGGAGGAGGAGAGGTTATTGTTTGGAAGGGGAAGCCCCCTCCATAAGGACTTCATGTAGCAAGGCTCTAACCGGGGTTACTTCCCTTCACTCATTTCTTCCGGGAAATGAGTGGCCGAGTCACGCGGGCAGCCGGACGAGTTTGGTACGGACTAATGACACTGAACCGACCAATTAGCTGTATGAAAACTGAGCGGATGTACGAAAACTGGGACAAAATTTCCGCGAAAAAAAGTCGTTGAAAACCAAATTGTACGAAAAGTAGGGCATACGAAAACCGAGGTTCCACTGTATGTAAGCTTACTTGATTCATGTTTTGGTCTAGAGTTTTGACCTTTTCTGCAGCAAGCTTCTGTCCTGTGTGAGCTGTCATCTGTTTAGTTTCTCCTTCTTGTGCTGAGGATTTTTCCCCTCCTGGCAGGGTCAGCATTCAGTCTTTCCTAGTATTTGTTGTCCCCTCTTTACTGGACTTGTTTGCCTCATACTGACAAAAAAATGTAGGAAAAGTATCTTATAATATGCACAACATGGCCAACATGCTAAAAACATGGTTAACTTAAATATACACTTGGAAAGGAAAACATTAATTAAATGGATAATTTCATTATTGCTGTTAATTCAGTTTGTATGTTCTGAATATTTACACAAAATAAATGTATTTATGCTGTGTCAATTATTGTATGGTGTGACTTGAAAAACTGTCACACCAGTTGATAACAGGGCTATCACTTTTTCCAAAAATCATGTTCAAACTGACATGTAATTCCTTCAAGTTAATTTGAACCCACATAACATAATGTGCAAATCATTTTATCATTGTTGATAATTTTTACGTCTATAGTATAGACGTAAAAAAAAGACACTGTTTCTCAGATGCTCCCGTGTTGTCTAATCAGTACAGTGTTGTTTGCTACTATCCCATATTTTGCCCTTGCAAACATAATGCTACTTGCTTACTTAACTGAGAGGACCTGAGAGGACATGCAACTGGTCAAACTAATTGTGAATTTTAAGGGCCTACTCTGCTGGACCACAAGGCAAATTACACTTATTGACTCAAGTTGATTTTGGGATTTGAGCTGATCATTACAGTTCAAATATTTATTTTTCTTACCACATTCAAACAAATGCTCGAATCTCAATTGAAAAGTGACAACCCTTGTTGATAATCTGCAATTAAATGCGCCAACGAACGGGTGAGCATAGATATGGAAGCTCAGTATTCAAGTTAAATATGTTTAACTGTTATGCAACCCCAAAGGGTGGGGTGGGACATACTTTCATATTTTTTTATTAAATGTTTATTTAATATTAAATATACTAAGAACACCATTCTGCCGCACAGTGATGCATAACAGAACAAACAATCTGGTGATTTTTGACTCATAACAAGGCAGTAGTCAATAAACTAGACATAGATTAGTTTGTCAGAGTTTTTGTCCATAAAAACCAGTAGGCTCTTGCACTGATGTCCTAATAAATCTATAGTCTATTGTATCTCGTACATTACCCTACATTTCTTACTGTAAATATCAGTTGTACATATCCATCGGTAAATTAGTTCTGACTGTTCATATTGTAGATACTGTGCACTTTTCACTGCTGTTATTGTACTTCTGGTTAGATGCTAAACTGTATTTCATTGCCTTGTACTTGTACATGGGTAATGACAATAAAGTTGAATAATCTAAAAATTGGAATGGGAATAGGTGAAATGTAAAATCAAATGGGGTAATTTGCAAAGAAAATAGTTTTTTCCATTTGGAAAAGTTTTTTACCCTGCTGTAGAGCTTCTTTGAAGCTATTAGTATTTTGATAGCAGCATATGTGGATATACTTAAGCCGTCCCTGGTAGGCTAGTGGTTAAGGTGCAGCGCTCTCGCCGCTGCGGCCCGGGTTCGAATCAGGGTTGCATCAGGAAGGGCATCTGGCGTAAAACACGTGCCAAATGTCAACATGGGAGTCGTCAGTGTGACGGATTTGCTGTGGCGATCCCTAAATGGGAAAAGCCGTGGATATACTTAAAATATTTTGGTTGTTATAAGTAGTAAAATACAGCAGAACCTTTCTGTTGTGCAACCTTTTTGCCTCAGTACATGTCGTTGATGTCTATAGTTTTATTATAGTGCACAGTTGAATTTGTTGTAAACAAGGTGTTTTTAAATCAAGTGAGACTAGTTTTTATTTTATTTCCTTTATTACAGCAAATCCTCAATGCTGTTAGGAACTTGCACTACCCGTTCAGAAAGGCACATAGGATTTCAAAACTGAGCCCAGCTCGTTAAACTGCACCAAAAGCACTGAGTCAGTGTGTAAAGAATGAGAAGACAGGAACTATGATGGGTGGTGACTGTATGAAAGGTAAACCAGGTGGAGGAGGGGCAGCAGGACTAGCAGGTTGGACAGGTTCTAACACGAATTTGCTGCAGCACTATCAGTGCTAAGATTGAATAAGCCGCCTCTCCTTGATTTTCAGTAAAAGTGGAGACAAATTGTGTTAAAACTGTATGGGGAAAAATGGATCAAAACAAACACAAACAAGACTGGCTTTCTCAGCTGATGCTCATTATCTTATGAGGGAAACCAGGTTTATGGCCATTAAGAACGGTTCCTCTTCTATCCAGTATGATGATAAAAATACACACTGCATATGGCGGTCTTTGAATTAGGGGTAGGAATGTTTACAAATTGTCAAACGAGTTTTTGCAGATTTTTGACTTGTACACTGTATTTCTATATGGAAGGATACTACCCAGGTTGTAAATTACACTGTGCTTTTTGTAGGGCCTCCTCTCTGGGGACAAAGGTGACAGATACTGCTGAGATTTAAAGTTGGAAAGATTTCAAGTTCCAGGTTCAATAAGTCAAAAGCAAAATGTTGTTAAAACACGCATGATGCGTTTTCCAACTGTAGTATGGTAGACGAGCTACAACAATTTTTCATCAAAATGAGCCATCTACAGCTGGAGATGGTCCCTGCACACTCATCCCACAGCCAGCTGCACAGAGACCAATTTGTTCAGTGTGGAGGACAGTTTTGTTTGATGAAAATTAAGTTGTAGCTTGATGTCTGCCTTACTATGGTTGGAAAGAGGTCTTGTTTGTTCAAATCTGTGAATATTAGGGGTGTGTGATATTGACATAAATCTGGATCTTTTTGGGGATTTTGTTGAAAATTATGATGATATTTTGCATCCAAAAAAGCACTATTGTCTGTTGCCTAAAACACTGAGAGCCTCTGTCAGAGACAAATTCCTTGTATGCTCAACATAATTGGTGATTATAGCTGATGCTGATTCTGATCAAAAAAATTGGTTTGTCTTGTTAAAAGCATATTAATTGTTGCTTCCTAATGATTTTAATGGAGACGACATACTTCAGTGTTTTCCATACATTGAATTTTTTTTGTGATGAAGCTGAACAGCCTGACCAGTGTGATTAATGATCCAATTAATTTGTTTCAAATATTTGCAAACTCCAACCAGTGCTGCTGAAGCAGCAAGAGAGGGTTGGAGAGGAGGACAGCAGCCCAGTGCAGTAGCAACAGGTCAGATGGACAGCAGACAGAGACATAGAAGCAAATCAGCCTTGCTTCTATTCTTCTGAGCAGAGTGATTAAAGTGTTACCCTATTTAATAAATACTTTATTAAAACATCTTGTCAGCTACCACCACAAATGGAATCTAGTTTTGTGGGAAACACTGTATTTCATGTACATAAACATTGCAGAACGGGTAAGACTTTATTGATACCACAATGGGGAATTTCCAGTGTTCCAGCAGCAATAGAGAGCAAATGACAAAACACCACAAGAACAACAAACACCATAAGGACCTCCGAGAAGCAAATCAAAGATACCTAAAAATCAAGACAAAACATAGCACTTGAGAGAAATCAAGAATGAAGAATGACTGTTTCTGCTAAGTTTGCAGAGTGTGCTTTTGTGCTGGTACCCTGGATGGTTTATTTCTGAGGTGGATAGCTGACTCCCAAAGTTTTTTCATATTCTGTGCGGTGGTTAGTTCAGCAACCAATTTCCAATGTAGTTTCCAGGTAGCTGTTTTTTTTTTTTTTTTTTTTTTAAGCAATCTGTCTATTAAAGCCAAAATACTAACGCGTGAGTGAGGATGATTCACGTCTAGCAGTTAACAATGTAGATTGCTTTTGGTGTCTGTATTTTATCTCTGGCGCTTGTCTGTTCTAACTTTGGTATTGCACTTTTAGACAGTTGCACTAACTTGTAGTGCTGTGATGATGTAGCCTACATGCTGCGTGCGTTCTCAATGCACATGGGCAGAAGTCAGTCCAACAAGTCCAGATCATCCCTGTATGTGATTGGTCAGTGCAGCACCTCTGCCGGATGATGTCACCATCTGGGGCAGTGCGGTGAGGGTGAGGATAGCATAGAAGGTCACACACAGCTTCACTTAGAAGTTATAGGCTCATGCATAATTCATGTAAAGTTATAAAGTTTGAAGAGACTTGTGTGAAATCCTACAGGAGAGAAGCCAGTCAGTTGAGTTTGTGGCAAAACCTTTTAAACAGCTTGCATATTGTCGTCTTTTACTGCATATGATAATTCATACTTGGAACTTAAATGACGTTCATTATAAGTTTAGTTAAAACTGTTCAAAATGCACCTTCAGTGTTTTGCATTTTGTGAATTTTAGTTGGATAAAAGACTTTTTACCAGTCATATATTTCATCATTGAAGATTTCTTAAGTGTTAAAATATCATCTCGTCTCGTTCTCTTGAGCCCAATATCATGTATTGTCTCACCCTTACTCGTGATTATTTGTAATTTTTTTAAATCTGTTTTAAATGTACCTTAAAGGGATATTTTTACATATGTGCAGTCTTTGGATGCTGTGCAAATTATTTCAAGCAGATTGTCATCCACAATGTTAATCGGCCTGCAAGCTTTAGCCACCCATTTAGCTATCACTGTTGAAAGTCTGTTGCTTGTAGAGTTGTCCAGGTGTCTGTGTTGCCAACTATCTAGTGTGGTTTGCCTTTGGTGAAGGAGAGGAGGGCTCTGTGCATCAGCTGTGCACTGGGCCAGCAAGCGGTATTTGAGACTCGATGCTCTCCGGTGTTAACTCACTTCACATCAACAATAAATGCAGATAACTTTGGTCCTGTCGAGAATGATCTGGCAGGGCCATTCACAAGGTCAATTTCCAAATTAATTGATAGCTGCAGCTTTTGCTAGCACCAAGGCTGTTAAGTGATCATAAGTTGCACACAAAAATATACAGTTAGCGTCAAAGCCATGCGTCCATATATTCATGACAGAGGTTGCCTTTCAAGGCAGAACTAATTTGTAAAGAAGGTGTCTGTTCAGAGCTCAGGTTTCAACCAAGCTCACTATGCTTTAGTGTCTTCAAAGTCATCTCTGTTCAGCCATGTGCCAGCTGTACTGTATATGGCTGTTAGCAATGTTGGCCAGATATAGAACCAGGAAGGAAAATCAACACTGACCAAATGCTAGTATTTTCTGTCCCTCTGCCTGCCATTTTAACAGGTACACAGGAAGATACTCTGTCCTGAAATAGTAGCTATGCCTAATGAAAAGGTGATTCATCTTTCCAGTAACCACAGGATAATGTAATCTCTATCATTACTAAATAGTTTGTCACAGATGTTTAAATGTTTAACCCTCCAAGTTACAGCAATACAGCATATCTATAATTCTCATTTGCAAAACTGCCTAAATTGTGTTGCATGTGACCATGGGTCGGTTGGCTATTTTCTATAATAAAAATATTTTTAAAAAAAATCCCCATACAGAGATTAAAACTAACAATGAATTGCCTCTACTCATGGTTATTGTATATGCGTAGTGTCAGATAAGTGTTAAACTTGTGCATTCAGTTCAGACAACCAACAACACACCAACTTTATATCATTATTGTGTTGCCAGGTGGTATGGCCAAGAGAAGGACTACAATGTTCTAGTCATGGACCTTCTTGGACCCAGTCTGGAGGACCTTTTCAACTTCTGCTCTCGCCGCTTCACTATGAAGACGGTCCTTATGCTGGCAGACCAGGTAGCAAACACATACATGCCTACAGCTCTGTGTGATCTTCTAAAGCAGGGAACACCCCTGAGGAGCATAGTTAAATACAAGTCATAGGGTGGTGCTGCCTCTCAGCAAGTAGGTCCTAGTTCCAACCTGCTAGCTTTTGTCTGTCTGTGTAAAGTAAGGCTGAGCAATTACAGTGGGTACGGAAAGTATTCAGACCCCCTTAAATGTTTCACTCTTTGTTATATTGCAACCATATGCTAAAATCATTTAAGTTCATTTTTTTCCTCATTAATGTACACACAGCACCCCATATTGACAGAAAAACACAGAATTTTTGACATTTTTGCAGTTTTATTAAAAAAGAAAAACTGAAATATCACATGGTCATAAGTATTCAGACCCTTTGCTGTGACACTCATATATTTAACTTAGGTGCTGTCCATTTCTGCTGATCATCCCTGAGATGGTTCTACACCTTCATTTGAGTCCAGCTGTGTTTGATTATACTGATTGAACGTGATTAGGAAAGCCACACACCTGTCTATACAAGACCCTACAGCTCACAGTGCATGTCAGAGCAAATGAGAATCATGAGGTCAAAGGAACTGCCTGAAGAGCTCAGACAGAATTGTGGCAAGGCACAGATCTGGCCAAGGTTACAAAAAAAATGTCCTGTCCCTGCAGCTGAAAACCACCCCCATAGCATGATGCTGCCACCACCATGCTTCACTGTTGGGACTGTATTGGACAGGTGATGAGCAGTGCCTGGTTTTCTCCACACATACCGCTTAGAATTAAGGCCAAAAAGTTCTATCTTGGTCTCATCAGACCAGAGAATCTTATTTCTCACCATCTTGGAGTCCTTCAGGTGTTTTTTAGCAAACTCCATGCGGGCTTTCATGTGTCTTGCACTGAGGAGAGGCTTCCGTCAGGCCACTCTGCCATAAAGCCCCGACTGGTGGGGGGCTGCAGTGATGGTTGACTTTCTACAACTTTCTCCCATCTCCTGACTGCATCTCTGGAGCTCAGCTACAGTCATCTTTGGGTTCTTCTGTACCTCTCTCACCAAGGTTCTTCTGCCCTGATAGCTCAGTTTGGCTGGATGGCCAGCTCTAGGAAGGGTTCTGGTCGTCCCAAACGTCTTCCATTTAAGGATTATGGAGGCCACTGTGCTCTTAGGAACCTTAAGTGCAGCAGAAATTTTTTTGTAACCTTGGCCAGATCTGTGCCTTGCCACAATTCTGTCTCTGAGCTCTTCAGGCAGTTCCTTTGACCTCATGATTCTCATTTGCTCTGACATGCACTGTGAGCTGTAGGGTCTTATATAGACAGGTGTGTGGTTTTCCTAATCACATCCAATCAGTATAATCAAACACAGTTGGACTCAAATGAAGGTGTAGAACCATCTCAGGGATGATCAGAAGAAATGGACAGCACCTAAGTTAAATATATGAGTGTCACAGCAAAGGGTCTGAATACTTATGACCATGTGATATTTCAGTTTTTCTTTTTTAATAAATCTGCAAAAATGTCAAAAATTCTGTGTTTTTCTGTCAATATGGGGTGCTGTGTGTACATTAATGAGGAAAAAAATGAACTTAAATGATTTTAGCATATGGCTGCAATAAAACAAAGAGTGAAAAATTTAAGGGGGTCTGAATACTTTCCGTACCCACTGTATGTGTTTTTCGAATTGGAAAAAGCTGATTAAAATGTTTTTAAATTCTACAGATGCTAAACAGAGAGGAGTCCCTGCAGGCTTTATGTGCACACAGTCCTCCCCTGCAGTTTTCACATGCACACACATCACTCTGCCCTGTAGGCTTCACTTGCACTGGAAAGCTAAGAGGAGAGAAGTTAAAATCAAAATCCTTAATGGTTGTGCATCTAGCAGCAGGCGCGGAACAGCAGATTGTATTCAGGACCCCAGTCCAGCGCAAACACTTGCTTACTGCAGTGTTAATTAATTAATGTTATTAGTTTAAACTCATGTTCTTGTACTGGAATACACGATGTTCTCAGGGTTTTTTCCTACCATAGAAAGCTTTGGGTGCAGCACCTGAGTGTTTTTGTGAAGTGCCTAAGCTGAATGTATATAAAAGGCAGCTTATTAGAATTTATGTAAAAACAAAAGTGAGTCATATACTTTGAAAACACAGGTGTCTTATCTCAAACTGAAATGTAAGCTGATAACAGGAATGACCTATCAATCAATAGTCAGTGTTAGGACAAACCTTTGTGTGTGACAGCATCTCCAAACTAATCAAACAGCTGATTGGCTATTTCTCTGTACCGTCAACTAGGGAGTGGTAGCTACAGCCATCAGTAAGGTTATCCTCCACAAAGAATGAAGTACAGCTTTCTTGCTGCGGAGCAGTTCTTGTTAATTCTAGCAATAGAAATAATGCTAGCTCAATGTAGCCTTTTTACAGCTAAAGAAGTTGCTAACATAGCTAACACGTAGCCTACTGAATTAGGATAGGTTAGCTAGGTAAGGAAGGAAGAAGGTTGATTTTACATCAAGATGGCTGGTAATGTTCATGTCTAACACTAACATCTTTTTTTGATGAAAACCACTGGTCAAAATGTTTAAAGCAAAAATGTCAGACACTAGTAACTTTGTCTGAAAGGTAGCTCAGGACATTTAGAAAAAACACTATTTACTCCTTAGGATTATTACTTATGCATAAAACAGGTGCTGAAAAAGCAGCATTACATGTGAACACAGCCATCCTTCTCCGAACACTGGCAGGGTGTGCGACATTCCCCTCTCCTGTCCTCCTTGACAGAAATAGTTTTCTTCCCTGTTTCTGCAGTGTAGTGTGAGAAGCAGCTGCAAACTGTGATGCAGGTCCTCATCTGGGCAGACATATACAGGTATGTGCCAAAAAATTAGAATATCGAGGAAAAGTCCATTTATTTCAATAATTTGTTTCAAAAAGTGAAACTTGTATGTTATATTAGTTCACTACACACAAAGTGAAATATTTCAAGCCTTTATTTGTTTCAATTTTGATGATTATGGATTAAAGACAAAAAAAACCC